TGAAGCTTGAGAAGAAAGTGTAGCAAGGTTCTAGAAAATTCAGTCAAGGAAGTATGCCCAGCATTTTCACAATCCCCCAGAGCCATGGTTGGCAAACTGCAGCTCACGAGCCACATGCGGCTCTTTGGCCCCTTGAGTGTGGCTCTTCCTAAGCCTTAGGAGTACCCTAATTAAGTTAATAACAATGTACCTACCTACATAGTTTAAGTTTAAAAAATTTGGCTCTCAAAAGAAATTTCAATCGTTGTACTGTTGATATTTGGCTCTGTTGACTAATGAGTTTGCCGACCACTGCCCCAGAGCATCTTCATTATTGTTAGGGGGAGTGCTTATTCTCCTTGCCTTCCTACTTTCACATTCCTCTCTGGGTGCCAAGGAGATTTAATTTAATGCTCTGTGTTTCATAAACTAGTGGGTGGGAGTACTGTGTCACAAAATCACTACCATCACCATCATTGTCACCATCACCATCATCATACTGCTAGTTAATATTTATGGAGCACTTACTGTGACCTAGGCACCATTCGAAGCAGTTTATGTGTATTACCTCATTGAATACTCACAACAATCCACTGCTCCACATCCTTTAAGTCCTTGGGGACAAATGTGTTTTGGAATTCAGAATGTTTTGTATTTTAGAAAGGTGATTACAAATTACACATAGAACATATTAGTAACACCCCAAGGGAGCTAGACTAGCACCCTGTAATCAAACACATTAATATTTCTTTAGCAAAATGCAAATCCAAAATTCATGTATGAATAATTACACTTAGTGAAATAATGACTATAGCCTCATTATAATTCAGGTAAAGTTTTCCAGCCAAAAGAGTTTGTTGCAAACTTAAAGAAAAACTTGTTTTCCAGAGATTTTTGAATTTTATTGGAGACTCTTATTTCAACTTTCAATCTATTAACAATTCCTGTCAAGTCTATCTGTATATCTATCTCTCAAATCTCTTTCCATCTACTGCCACCACTATAGCATTCTAGACCCGGCCATCCTAGATCTCTTGTTTGAATGACTTGAAAAGATTTCTAACTGAGTTACCCAATCTGTATCATATTTCCCTATTACCCATCTTTCACACTCCTCCTAGACTAATCTTTCAAAAACATAAAAGTGATGCCCGGCTGGAGTGGCTCAATGGTTGAACATCAACCTCTGAACCAGGAGGTCATGGTTCAATTCCCCATGCCCAGATCACGGGCTCAAGCCCCAGTGTGGGGCGTGCAGGAGGCAGCCAATCAATGATTCTCTCTCATCATTGATGTTTCTATCTCTCTCTCCCACTCCCTTCCTCTCTGAAATCAATAAAGATATATTTACACACACACACAAAAGTGATCATGTAATAGCTTTGGCTCCCCACTGCTTATAAGATAAAACCCAAACTCCTACACAAGATCTGGCCTGTTAAACACTCTAGCCTTATCTCTTGTTGCACCCATCATGCATTATATTATAGCCATGTCAAATTACAGTTCTCTGAATAGCCCATAGAGTTTCCTGCCTTTGCTCACACTGCTCCCTCCACTTAGAATGCCCCATTTGCCAATCAACAACTGTCAATTCACCTCATCTCCTTTTGCCTCATGTCCAGCTCCTTTATGAAGTTAACCAACCCGCCCTCTAAAGTATTCCACCTTAGCACTTATAATATTCAATGCCTCTATTGATGCAAGGCCTTTCTTGCTACAGCTCCTATATCTTTATCTCTCAGCAAACTCCCTGATACCTAGTCAGTGCTCAATAAGTGTAGAGCTAAGTAGTTGAAGTGAAGATTCTGTGATGGGGAGAGAACCATGAACCTTATAGAAGCCCTAAATTTGAATTTTCACATTTTTAACTGATGAGACAGTTAGTTTAATATGTCTGCAACAAATGTTAGCATGACACATTAAAACTGATGGAAAAGAAAGCGTGTCTTTCTCTGCCCACATCCTTCATACAAATGTCTATGCTATGTTATTCATCTATATCAAACTAATTGAAAAGGAAAATGCAAGGTAATAATACATCACACATTTTACCATGCGGAGAATGGGAGAAACAGAAACAGGATTCCAGAAGTCTGATGCGTAGTTGTAGTCATCCATATTCAACTGCCAGTTTAGTCGCTCAGTAAACTCCACCTCTGAAGATTGATGGCAATTCATGTCAGATCTAAAGTGGGATTTATAAAATAGAGACAGTGTCAAGGAAGCATGGAACAGACTGAGGAATCTTAGAGGGAAGGAGGGGGGGAGCGGGAAGAGATTCACCAAAGAACATATATGCATAACACATGGACACAGACAATAGTGCTATAGGCCCGGGAGGGGGCGAGGACAGGGTGGAGGGGGAAAAGGAGGGGGCATCTGTAATACTTTCAACAATAAAGATAAATTTTAAAAAATAAACTGGGACTGGGGCGGGGGAGGAGACATATGTAATACTTTAAAGAATAAAGAATTCAACAAAAATAAATAAATAAAGTGGGGTTTATAAAGCAGCCCATCTGGGAGAATGACAAACCTAGCATTTAAACACCTAGCCAGGATATATCCTTTGAGACAATATTTATGCTTACCAACAGGTAAGAGATAATAGGAAGGTGTCACAAAACAGCCAAAAAAAAGGGCCACTGGCTATTTTCTATATGAAATTATGTTATCATTACAAACTAAATGTTTTGGCTTAAGTATGCTAGAGAATGCCAAATTAAAATTCAATAGAACCAGTTTCCCATAAAGTGATTTGAATGGATACATTTTAGTCTAAACTATTTTAATAGTTTTCGAGAAAATAAAAACGAGGACTCTCCACAATGGTGGGTCAAAAGGGCATAAGCACTGAATTCTGAGCCCCACCAGGCTATTCACTTAGCTGAATAACAGGGGTGGGGAACCTTTTTTCTGCCAAGGGCCATTTGGATATTTATGCCATCATTCGAGGGCCATGCAAAATTATCAGTTTAAAAATGAGCCGGCTGTATTTGGTCAAACCTTTACATTAACTCACCCCTAATGCCTTGGCAGGACCAGACCACATGATTTCTCGGGCCTTATATGGACGTTCCCCACCCCTGCTGTATAACCTTGATTAGATAAATTAACCTCCTTATTTGTAATTGAGGATAAACAATGCTTCCCTATCTACTTCATAGCATTAGAGTTATTAGTTATGAGAAAAATGATGCCTAAAGAAAATATTATGTATAAATAAGAGAATAAATAGAAAGAAAAGGAAACAAACTCTTATTGGACATCTCTTCTTACTAGGCTCTATTAGATGTTTTCACAATCTTAAATTTATCATTTAATTTTCATAACAACCATGTGACATTAGTAATATAAATTCTCATTTTATGGAAGACCAAACTGAGTCTCAGAGAAGGCAATTATGTTGCTAAAGATCCTACAGTTAATTAATGGCAGGACTAGGAGCCTACTCTATACCAGTGGTTAAGTTTATTAGCCTTATAAACTTTTTCCCGAACACATCTGTCCTGGGACTCTACATCCTTCTGTTCCAATCTAAACTGGCTGCTGTACAAATGTCACCCTGGGACCTCCATCACTGTTATATTGTGACTTCCCTCCACCTCTCACTTAAGAAAAGCTGGCTCTGTTTCCCTGAACCTCATGTGTTCCTCTTCCTCAGTTTACTTTTCCAGTTTGCTGGAGCACACCCTGTAGGAGTTTCCTGAGCAAAGGTGCACAATAGGATTTTTTAAAAAGATTTTGGGTGTCTGAACATGTTTATCTCTTGCATTTGGTTGAGAGCTGGTCTGAGTACAGATTTTTATTTTATTTTTTAAATTAGTTTTTCTGAACTTTTTGTTGTTGTTAATCCTCACCTGAGGATATTTTTTTTCCATTGAGAAAGTAAGGGAGGGGGGAGGAAGGGAAGGAGAGAGCGAGAGAGCAAGAGAGAGAGAGAGATATTGATGTGGGATATCCATCAGTTGCCCCTCCCACACTCACCCCAATGGGAATGGAACCTGAAACCTGGGTATGTGCCATGACAGGGAATCAAACTTGCCACCTTTTGGTGCACAGGATGAAGCTCAAACCAACTGAGCCACACCGGCCAGGGCTGAGTAAAGAATTTTAGATTGGAAGTAAATTTCACTAAGAATTTTTAAAAGGTTGAAGTATTGTCTTCCAGCTTCCAGTGTTATTGTTTAAAGGTCCAGTGCTACATTTATTCCTGATCCATTGTTTGTATTCTCTTTTCCTCAATCCTTGACACACGCCTTCTCTATTCAACCTCTTCAATTTTAGGATGTTTTGAAAGTTCAATTCTGGACCTACCATTATCCTCTTTATTCTCTAACAAGATGACTTAATCTAGTCTTACGACTTTACTACATTTAGAACTCACACATTTTTAAAATTTATCTTTATTGTTGAAAGTATTACAGATGTCCCCTTTTCCCCCGCATTGACTCCCTCCCCAGGCCTTCACTGCACTACTGTCAAGCTCTTTGGTTAATCTCTTCCCACCCCCCTTCCCTCTGGAATTCATCAGTCTGTTGCATGCTTCAATGACTCTGGATCTATTTTGTTAGATTCCACATATAAGTGAGATCATGTGATACTTGTCTTTCTCTGACTGGCTTATTTCACTTAGTATAACCATCTCCAGGTCCCTCCATGCTGTCTCAAAGAGTAAGAGATCCTTCTTTTTTATAGCTGTACTAGAGGCCCGATGCACGCGAAATTTGTGCAAGGGGCTCGGCTCTTGCTGGTGTGATGGCTTGCCTCGGCCCTTGCAGTCCTGGATTCGTCCAGAAGGACATCTGGAAGGTCGTTCAGCTATCCAGTCTAATTAGCATATTATGCTTTTATTATTATAGATAGTGTTATCTTTGACATTTAACCCATCCAGAATTGCTTTATGTGCAGACTCATGAACTAGGTATGTAATTTTAATATTTTTTTACTTGGATAACCAATTATCCCAAACCATTTATTGAATAGCCCATCCTTTGATAAAAGTCACCATTGTCATTTATCAAATCCTCTTTTTCTCTGAGTACTGAAGTCTCATTAAGAGATGTTTAATTTGGGGGTTCCTGCTGAAACTCCATACTGTTTTCCATAGTGGCTGCACCAGTCTGCATTCCCACCAGCAGTGTACTAGGGGTCCCTTTTCTCCACATCCTTGCCAGCACTTGTCATTTGTTGATGATAGCCATACTGGCAGGTATGAGGTGATACCTCATTGTCATTTTAATTTGTATCTCTCTGATGATTAGTGACTGAGCATTTTTTCATATCTTTTTGCCATCTTTATGTCATCTTTGGAGCAATGTCTATTTAGGTCCTTTGCTCAGTTTTTAATTGGACTGTTTGTCTTCCTCTTAAGGTGTATGGGTTCTTTATATATTTTGGAAATTAACCCCTTATCAGATGCATCATTGGTAAATATGTTCTTCCATACAGTGGGCTCCCTTTTCATTTTC